CCCCCCCCCAACTGGTATCTGCTAGGGGTGGCCTCGGCTGGGCTCTAGCTATGCAGATTTCCAATTTGAGTTTTCACTTAAAATCCGAGTCAGGCAGCTACCAAAACAGAGAGGAAGGGTGTTCTTCTGATGAGACCAGAGGGGCCACCTCCTCTCCGGGTTCTAGGTGGTTGGAGGAGAGACCTCTGCCTGGGTCGGGGTGGGTGGGCAACGCTGGGCCTGCAGCGAGGCTGTTTCCTAGGCGGGCCCCTTGTCTCCCTCCTGCAGGCTCCAGCGTGAGGATGGCACACTGCAGCTGCAGCAGCCCCTGCCCAACCCCTTCCTGCCTGGCCAGGAGCAGCTTGGGTGAGTAGGCTGGGCTGGGGGCCTGGGGGGCTGAGGGCTGGGCCTGGGGCTGCGGAAGGCTCTCTCCTGGGCTGATTCCCCACCTTCTGACAGACTCCTGCGGAGCTACCTCAAGGGACTAGAGAGGATGGAAGAGGAGCCGGAACACATGAGCCGGGAGCAGGGTAGGAGGCTGGGTGGGGGCCAGGCGGCCAAGCTGGGGGCTGCCCTGTGAGCACCCGGTTGACCCGGTGTCTCCTCCTCAGTTCTCCTCTACCTCTTTGCCCTCCACGACTTCGACCAGAGCGGACAGCTGGACGGTCTGGAGTTGTTGTCCATGTTGGCAGCAGCCCTGGGCCCAGGAGCCTGGGACTCCCCGTCCGCCAACCCGGTAAGTGCAACTGCATGAGGGAGGGGTCCTGAGCCCCACAAGGAAGCCTGCTCCTTGGGGCCTTGGTCTTTGCCAATCAAATCTGTATTGGAGAGCCCCCTGTCCCAGGGAGGCACACGGGGGCGTGGGGCAGGGGTCCGGGGAACATTCCCGGTCACTGTGAATGTGCGCTCCCACAGGCGATCCTGGTGGTGGACAAGGTGCTGGAGACCCAGGATCTGAATGGGGATGGGCTCGTGACTCCGGCGGAGCTCATCAACTTCCCGGGCCAGACCCCCAAAGAGCCCCTTGCCCCTGCGCCCCAGGAGCCCCTGCCACCTAAAATCCCATTAGGACAGGATATGCCCGAGGCCCCGGGTCTCACAGAAGCTGGGGAAGAGGCAGAGGGCAGGAGGGAGCCTTTGGAAGCTGTACAGGAGGCCAGGGGGACAGCCGAGGCAGAAGGAGATGGCCCAGGACCCGAAGGGGATGCTGGGGACCTTGCAGATGCCGGGGACACCGCAGAGGCAGCTGAGGAACTTCCGGAGGAAGCTGCAGAGTCCCAGGATGCCCCTCGGGAGTCTGAGGCCCACACCATCCAGCTGGAGAATGACGAGATCTAACCTTGACATCAGCCTCAAGAGGAGCCCAAGGCAGAGGATGGGCAGGGATGAGGGCCGCCTGCCATCCCCTCCTGGGCCCAGCAGGTGGCGGGTCTGCCTGTAGCGCTCAGCTTTACAGGCCCAAACAGCTAATAAAGATCGGGAAGAATGTGCCCCCAGTGCCATCTGTCCACCTTTCCGGCCTGCCCAGATGCCATAGAGACAGACAGGCCTATCACGGGGGCAGGAATGAGCCTTTCCCAGCGTTCCTGGAGGCTGGTGATGCTGACACCCAGCAAAGTCCATGGAGCCAGGCCCCGGCCAGCTGCAGACAAGCAGACCACCCGCAGGACGAGAAGCTGGAGTCTGTGCCTGGCCGACACTCTCTTGTCCCCACACTGCACTGCCCTCCTGAACCTGGGGGCAGAGCTTCTCCTGAGGTTTGCAGGAGGCAGACACAGAGTCTCCTAAAGGGCGGGGCCTGCACCTGCACCCCCTCTCATACGCCTAGCTGTCATTTCTGGAGAGATAGGCATGGGAGGTGGCATATGATTTCGTTCCCACAATCATTCTGCGAGCCAGGTAGCATGGCTCGGTGTCCCATCTGATAGACAGATGGCCGAGTGAAGGGACTTCCCCACTTCCCTCCAAACCCAACCCCCTGCCACTGAGCTGGCCCGGAGGATTCCCAAGGCTGCGACCTGTGCTGCGGAAGCAGGCTACCTCCTCTTTCTCCGGCGGAGCAACTGGGGTCGCCACCGACCTCGCGGGCAGCACCCAAGGTTTAACCCACAGCAACACCAGGGGTTCCCTGCCTACTTACCTAATCTGGTGGCAAACGTGACTCCAGGGGCCATGCTCTTTGTCATGTGACATGGCCCACTCACCAGGTTGGGGGGTGTGTGGGGGGGAATTGTGGAACACCCAGTCTGCCCTTCTGCTGGATGGCTCTCTGAGAGACCCTGACACGCTGTCTTTGGGTCACAGTGGTGGCTGCAGCCCGGCCTGTCCTAGCTACAAGGCGGGGTTTTCTGGAGAGCTATTTTTAGGGCTGAGAAGGCCCCACCAAATCACAGAGTTGGCTCCCCGCCCACGGGCCTGTGGCTTTTGGCTCAGCCATGTGGCCTCCTGGCTCCCCAGGCCCAGGGAGTGGGGTCTCCAGCCCAGCACAAGGCCCCCGAGGACTTGTGGGGCCTCTGGTCTCTGCAGGGCGTGCTGGGTGCCGGGTGCACTGGGGAAGGAAGAGAGAGGGAGACGGGCTGCGGTGTCAGGGCCCCAGGAGCATCCTGCCGGAGGGGTCCCGACAGCAAGAAGGACAAAGAGATGGCAGAGGGGGCTGGTTCTGGGGGAGGAGATTTATTTGCTCGGGGGCTCTCTTCAGGGCGACCTCACCCCAGCCTGAGTCTCCATGGGGGGCAGGGCAGCCCCGGCGCCAGCCTCCAGGGGGTGGGCCAGTCTGCCAGGCACAGGGTGCTCACACGATGCCGTCGAAGCCCTGCAGGCCACACTTCTTGCCAGCCACCTGGCAGCCAAACCTCAGCGCCTCCTGTATGCTCTTCCCTAGAGGGAGGAGGAGGACGGGGCTGGGCCAACCTGGGCTGTGGGCAGAGGTAAGGCCCAGCCTGTGCCCTCCTGTGGGGGTACTCACCCTGGGAGAGGCTGAAGATAACAGAGGCATTGAAGGTATCTCCGGCCCCCAGCGTGTCCACCACCCGGGGTGGGGGGAAGGCGTCTGAGTGAACCAGCTGTCCATCGGGGCCCAGGGCATCGGCACCCTCCTCAGCCCAGGCACAGATGAGCGTGGCCCTGCAAGCCCCTCTGCTCAGCTGGAGTCAGCGCCCCGTTCCCCAGACCCATCCCCAGGGCAGATCCCTAGAGTCCCTCCCTTCTGGGTCCCCCACCCTCCCTCCAGCTCACCCTTTCCTCGCACGGCTGTACAGGCCCCTTAGTGCATCTGCTGCTGACTGGAACCCCAAGTGCTTGGCCACATCTTTGCTGACAAACACCTGTGGGCGATGGGATGGGGACTGACGGTCACCCCCCACTCGGTCCAGCTCCATCCCTCACCTGCAGTGGCCTGGTGTTCCCCTAAAAATGGCACTCCCCCAACACAGCCAGGAATCCCAGCAAGCACCTCGCTCTCACACAGGAACGCATTTAAAACAACAATGTGTAGTGTTTGCAGTACCCCCAGAACAATGCCACATGGATGGTGGTGCTCCGGCCCTGGGCTCCTTGCTTCCGAGGGTGCTGCACCCAGCAGCAAGCGCACCTGCCTGCTCACAGATGGAGGAAGGGTCAAGTCCACCCAGAAGTGCCTCAGGAGAATGGCCAGGTGATCTATTTTCCCAACAGGCCACTAGGGACCGGGTGGCACTGAGTTCTACGGGGGTGGGGAGGGATGGGGGCAGGAGGAGGCTCAATGCTAGGCAGCCATTCGTTCTTGTCTTAAGGTCAGTGAGTTCCCTTGAGCACCGTGTTAAACTGTGCCTGCTTTAAAAACCCCAAACTCGCTGCCATCGAGTTGAAGCCAACTCATAGCGACCTTATAGGACTGTCTGTGCCAGGGGGCCACCCGGGCCAACTCGGCGTCTGCATTTCTGAATGCAGAGCCAGGGTGGGTAAGATGGGCTGGTGGCCTGGTCTCCAACCAGTCTGAGCTCTGGAGCTGGGGTCCTCACACAGACGTACACACTTACATTCCCTCCCCAAACCAAACTTTGAAACCAACCTTGCTGACTCATAGGACCCTGCAGGACAGGGCAGAATTGCCCTGTGGATTTCCCACACCCTGTGGATTTCCCTTCACAGGAGTAGAAAGCCCCCAGAGCAGCTGGTGGTTTTGAACCACTGACCTTGTGGTTAGCAGCCCAACTCGTAACCACTACGCCACCAGGGCTCCAGTATTTATATCCTAGCTCTTCCCAAATTTACCTTGTGTAAGTTGCTCTCCCACCCGCCCCTTGCCCTGTAGGGGGTGTCACCACTCACTCCGCAGGCGGGGTGGAAGAAACCTCAGAGAATGATGCGTATTTCTGAGGAAAAGGCTGAGGATCTACGAAGGTGATGCTTTCAGACAGGATAAGCCTTGCCCCAGACTCTGGCTCCCTCTCCCTCCTGAACCCGTTTGGGACAGACAAATTCTACTCCCGGGCCAATGCGAAGGCCAGGCCGGGCCGGGAGCCCTGAGGTGGGGTCTGCCTCTTTGCTTTGGCTCCACCTTCCAGCACCACCCGGCCAGGAGGTACTACTGCAAAGAGCAGGTAGGTAGGACAAAGGGACTCTTCTAAAACCAAATTCACTGCCACCCAGGTGGGTTCAACTATTTGTTGTGAGTCTATAAGACGGGGTAGAACTGCCCCTGTGGGTTTCCGAGACCAGAACTCTTTATGGGCCCAGAAAGCCTCATCTTTCTCCCGTGGAACGGCTGGTGGTACTAGCTACTGGCCTTGGGGTACACAGTCCAGCGTGTAATCCATTACGCTCACCACGTCTCCATAGCCAAATAGCTGGAAGATCTCCTCTCGGGGCTTCTCCACCTCCACGGATACCCGGACCTTCTGCTCGGGAGGCTGCCTGGCATTGTGGTGGTCTATCCGCTGCAGCATCTTCACCTGTTCAGATGCATTGCGGCCCTGCGGAAGCACAGGGCTGAGGGCCAGCCCAGCGTGCAGGGCCTAGCTTGCCCACTCCTGGAGGAGGGAGGGGGCTGGAGAAGATGGGCTAGAACTCCCCCAGAAGTCACAAAATTCTAGACCTTAGACACCGGGTGGACCAGCATTCTCGTTCAACCATGAGGAGGCTAAAGATTGAGAGAGGCTTTCCTCAGGGCTGCTCCCACACAAAATCCAAAATGCCTTTCCGAGGAGGAAGTTCCTAGGGCCCTGGATTTGGAAGCTAGGACAAGCCCCCTCACTCCTGCTCCCCCAGAGGTAGCTGCCCCATCAGAGCCAGGTTAGTAGCAGCAGTGGGGTTAGGTTAATGGCCGAGCCAGGTTAATAGCAGCAGTCACCCAGCAAGCACGGGACGTGGCCTAAACCCAGTGGGACCTGGGTGCATCCTGCTGTGTGACCCTGGCCAATCTCTCTGGGCCTCGCCTGGAAGCATGTGGGATGATGAGAGGGGATGAGGGAGATTGGACTCAATTCTCTCTAAGGTGCTTCCTGGCTCAAAGAAACTGAAGTAGGAGGCGGAGCAGTGGGTGGGGCTGGCCGCTTGTGCCACTGGCAGGAGAGCAGGGCAGGGCTTGCCTCAATGTGGATCCACTTGAACAGCGTCAGATCCACCTTTTCAAAGTCCTCAGCAGACACATCCGGCAGGTTCCTGGGCCACAAGATGGAGAAGACGGGAGAGCACGGCACAGTCAGCCAGGGCCAGACTCTCTTAACAGGCTGCTTAGCTACTTCTGCCTGGCGCCACCTGCAGCACGGCAGGAAGCTAGAGCCATGGCACAGGGGGCTCGGGCTCAGCTCTGGGAAAGGTCGAGTCCTAGGCTAAAGCCCCAGCCACTGCAGCCCCACTCAGCCTTGGCCAGCCAGTCAGCCTCCGAACCCACCCAGCCTCCAAACCCTGGAGGGCAATAAGCTAGGCTGCCCCTTCCTGGCAGGCAGGTAATCCTGTGAGATAAACCCGGACGCCCAAGCGTCAAAGGCTCAGGCTTCTCCACGCCTTGGAAACGGCATCTCCCAGAATGCTCGAGGAGCACTTGAGACTAACTCCCAGAATTCTTGCACACACACTCACACTCAGACTCTCTCTCTCTCTCTCTCTCACACACACACACACACACACACACACACACAGCAGGCGGCATCTCTGTAAACTATCAGAACCATGGTTCTTCTGGCTCAGGTCTGACCGGCCCCACTTGCTTGGGACATTGCTGAGTTGACAGCACCCACAGCTGGTAGACCAGTGGTGCTCAATCTTCCTGAGGCCACAACCCTTTAATACAGCTCCTCATGTTGGGGTAATCCCCCCAACCATCAAATTATTTTCGTTGCTACTTCATCACTGTCATTTTGCGACTGTTACGAACCGGGCGACCCCTGTGAAAGGGTTGTTCGACTCCCAAAGGCGTCATGACCCACAGGTTGAGAATCGCTGTGGTAGACCGTGTTGAAACACTGAGGTCAAGGTTGGCTGGTGAGGATGGGTTCATGATTGGCCGAGGTGGGGAATCCTGGGAAAAGGTCTACCTGGAACCTCCCTTTGGGCCAATGTCTTTCCCACTTAATCTCCGTGGCCCAGTTCCATCAGCCTGCCTTGCTGTGTGACCTGGGCCATTCTGAGGGAAGCGGGGCTGAACCTGCCGGCCTCACGCGCCTACTGGGGGAAGGGAGGCAAGGTGTGTGCACATGCATGGAGTAAGGATGGAGTCCATAGGGATTTCCCCGCAGACACCCCCCCCTCACTTCCTGCAAATATCCTTGGTGTGTCCTTGGTCAAGGTCGCATAATGAGCAGGTGACTATGTCTCCGGTCTGAAGGCTGTCTCTAGCATAGTTGTCTGTCCCCTCCCTCAGTGGGACAGATGGAGCCCAGAGGCTGGTCACAAAGCTTGTCCTGTGCTGATGGCCCTTCTCTTTGGGTCTGGTGTCATGCCAGGTAGCAGGGGCAGCCTAGACCCCGGGGGTGCTGCGCGTCGGCCCTTCTAGTCCAAACATGGTCCCTGGCACATAAGAGGGGGGGTGGGTTCTGAGGCGGGGTGAGGTCAGTCTAGGCCTGCAGGGCCTCTCACCCTGAGTAGGGACTCTGAAAGGCTCACCTCCCCACATCGGACAGCCCTCCTCTGCAGACTCAGATGACCCTTCCTCCTCTTACAGCAATGGCTGCAGTGTGTGTAGTGTTGGGTCTGGCTTATGGTCCTGGGGTCCTAGCAAGGCTCATCAGCCAGTTCTGGGGCTGACCCTGGAGATGCCTGTGAGAACCCCAGCCCTCGAGGTGGCTTGACTTCCCTGCCCTGCCCCTCCGTTGGTACTGAGAACAGTTTCCTCCTGCCCAGAGGGATGACATCACATACCGATTCCATACACTGAACAAGGCTAAGTTGCCAGGCAGAGCAATCGCCTTGGATGCCCGCCCCACCCACCCCACCCCACCCCTATGATTCTCCCCTGATTGACAATTCAAAAATCACTCCACGCTTTGGCACGGGGGCAATTTCTGGTGGAGGGAGCAAGACTGCACCAGGGTGGGCAGCCAGGCCAGCCCGGGGATGCGGTTGGGAGCTGGGCAGTGTGCTGATTGGTGGGCTGTGGCAGGAGGAGGCGGGGCCTTACGTGTCGTAGAGCACAATGGTACGGGAGCCATTGGAGCTGTTGACGATGCAGCAAGAGCAGGGGGTGTCCCCACTGCTCTGCCAGGCCACCTGAGACACGTCCACGCCCCTCCGCCTGAAGTCGGCCACCAGGAAGCTTGGGTGGGCGCCCGAGTCAGGGAGAGGGCAAGGAGACACAGGTTAGACCTCTTGCTGGCCTGGGGCTGGGGGCGCTGGAGACCTGGGGACCTCCGAGAGCAGCGCAGCGGCTCCTGTTCTTGGAATGTAGTGAGGGCGGCGGTGGTGGCGGCGGCGGCAGCTAGCAAGGTGCAGACAGGTGTACAAACCTGTAGGCATGTAGGATGGTGCGGCTGCCACTGGCCTCGTTGATGATGACCGTGGAGATGGGGATGGAGCCTGTGGTCTGAGAGACCGTGTAGCGCAGGTCCACGGAATAGCGGCGGAGGTCCTCGAGGACAAAGCTGCCAGAGGGGAGGGGGCCGCAGGAGGGGCAGTGCAACAAGGGTGCTGGGGGCTTCAGGGGAGCTGGCAGGGCAACGAGCGGCTCTGGGAGGTGGGGTGCAAACAGAGGACAACGGAGAGGGTCCTGGAAGTCACAGCCCTGTGCTGGAGGGGCGGCAGGCTGTGGGAGGGGGGCTGAAGAAGCAGAGGGACAGCCTGGAGCTTGGGGAACCACACCCAAGGGACAGTCTCTCAACATCCAGCTGAACAGCCAAGGACCAGCCAGCCCTACCCTCCCGGTTGACTCAAGGTAGGGAGGGGCTGCACCTGTTTACACGGCTAGAAGGGGGTAGGCCCGGGGCCTGGGCGCTGTGCCCTGCAAATCAAGCAGTTAGGGGCGCTGCCGCTGGTGTGGGCTTTATACAAGGCCCAGGCAGAATTAATCATTACTCACTAGAGTGATACTTTGGCCCCCAGCTGCCCTCTGCATGCTCACCCCCTGTACCCATCTCTGAGGTCCCCTCCAGGCCCACGGCTGGGGCTCTTCCCACTCCTGCTCAGCCTTCATATGCCCACCCACCCTCTCCTACCCCAGCAAAGCTAGCTGTCCAGGGCCTCACTGGCTCCAGGTGCCTGGCGCCCCTCCATCTGGGCCTGGTCTTTCCCAGAATCCCCTGCAATCAGAGGGAACCTGGGGGCCATCCCTTTGCAAAGACTGCCAGAACAAGGCGGCCAGTGCCCCTTGTCCCTGCCCTCTCTGGAGAGAGGCAGTCTGTCTGCCCAGCAGGACAGCCACCACTGGGCAGCCTCACTGCAGCTCTACTTCACTGCTACGGACCCTAAAGCTGGGTGATGCAGGCTGTGCTGAGGTGACAGGTGAGGACCTGCATGCTGTCCTACACCTCAGGGACCCTTAAAGGGGTCAACCTAGAGCTCTGGTTCCACGGGGGTAGGGGGTGGGGGTGGTGTGTTTCACAGTGCTCGCTGAAAATTGGAACAGAATTCCAGCCCCACCGCCAACTTTCTGAACCCCGCTCTGGTGTGATTTGACCTGCCAGAAAACGTTTGCACGTTGACACTCGGTAGGTGCTGTTTAAAGGGCCTGCTGGACAACTGGGGAACATCTCGGGTGGGCTGTCGACCAAGTACCCGGACTCCAGTCCTGTCCCAACCACCCGCGTGGAGCCAGGTCCTGAGGCGGGAGCTTGGCTTGGGCCCCGGTGCTGGGCAGCCCCCCTCCAACTGGAGTTCAAAGGGCTGTGCTTCACAGACCAGCAAGCTGGCAGCCTGCCCCCATGCCCACAGTGGGCAAAGTGTGGGCCTCACCTCTCGATAAGTGCTTGCTGAGTCAGCAGCACCAGAGGTCAAAGGGCTCCTGGTCCTTGCCGCAGCCGACATGGAGAAAGCGCGTGGACGCTTCCGGGGGCTGTGGCCTCCATGGCCAGTGAGCTGGCAGCCAAGCTCCCTGGCCCGACTTTAGCACGTGGCTTTGGGGTGTCCTGGCTGGGCGCTCTTGCTGTTCCAGGGAACAGCCAGCCCTGCCCCCTCCTCTGGGAGGTGAACTGCGGGCAGGTTCCTGGCAGAGGGAGACTGGGCCTCCCTGAGCGAGCAGCAGATAGGGGTAGGCAGGCATGTCCCTAACCTCCGCCTGTCTCACACATAGCCGGGTAAGGGGCTGAGGAAGAACAGAGTCAAAGCCAGCTGGCAGCGTCTGCAGCAAGCGGGCAAGCAAGCAGGCAGGTGGGCTGTCCGAGCAAGCGCCAAGAGCAACCAAGGAGCCGGCTGTCGACATGAAGCCTTCCCAGAGCCCCTTCGCACCTGAAGGGCAGGAGAGGATCTGGGACCCCGGGCCTCCACTCCGCCCCACTCCCTGACCACCGCTTCTAGTGGCCACAAACCCCTCCCCAGGGTGAAGCTGCTGCCTGCCCGCCAGCCAACCCCCCAGGCTGGTACCCCGGGGCTTTCTCCCCGACTCACTTGGCAACGTGACCAGGGGCTAGCGAGCCCATGAAGGCGCAAGGGGCCCCCAGCAGAGAGAGAACGGTGCAGGAGTTGGACGCGTTGCCTCCACGCTGCCATCGCTGGGACAGGCACCTGCAAGTACAGCAGGGTCACTGGTCCCACCACTGTGTAAAGCTGAGCCACCCCCCTCAGAAGGCAGCTGGGGCAGCTGGGGCTCAGAGAAGGGGAGTGGCCCAGGCTGGTCCAGGCTGGCCTCACCAGCCCCAGTTGAGTTCAAACTCATCATGGTCACTTGGCGTCTTTCCATTTCTTTGTAACAATCAGGAAGCTCCACAACCGATGGGTAAACAGTATCAGTTTATACAGATCCCCACCCTCACCCCCCATCAGAGCTGCTCCCACTCAGCTGTACAGACAGCCTCCTCCTACAGCTGCTCCGAGGCCCTCAGAGATGACAGACCTCTTCCGAGAGGCGTCAAATGCACCGCCCAGTCTCGTCATAAGAGAGTTGACAGCAGCTATCCCTGCAGACTCAAGCGAAGACAACCAGGGAGCAGACCTGGAAACTGGGACCCTCTGACAGCGGTTCTCAACCTGGGGGTGGCGACCCCTTTGGGGGTCAAACGACCCTTTCACGGGGGTTGCCTAAGACCATATTTCCAATGGTCTCAGGAACCAAGACACCACTCCTCTATCCGGCTCCAGGTGGGCCCGCCCCCATGCAGACAAGCCCACCTATGGGGTCCCCACCACATGAGGAACTGTATGCAAGGGTTGCGGTATGAGGAAGGTAGAGAACTGCTGCCCTAAGGCAAGGAGCGCTGGTGGCTGTGGGTGAGGTGTCAGGCTGCTAACCACAAGGTCTTCGGTAGGTAGTTCAAACCCACCAGCTGCTCTGAGGGAGAAAGATGAGGCTGTCTGTTCCCGTAAAGATGTACAAGCCTCAGAAACCCTACGGAGAGCTGGTATGAGGGGCATTGGCTCGAAGGCGCAGTGGGCTTGGCTTTCTAGCTTTTAAGAAGCCAGGGGTAACTTCTAAGGTGTCAAAAGTTGAAAAAGGCTTATTGGGTGGAACCAAATTTCCTCCATCTTGATGGAAAATCTAAGGAAGAGGAAAGGAGGCCCAGATGCACTGGGAGGGATGCATCATTATCTTCGACAACAACAAAGTAACACAAACTAATAACCACACGACGCAGTCAAAGCACTTTGACCTTTTCTCTGAGAGAGAGAAACACTGCGGCTGTTGTTTCTATGGCACAGTGGTTACACGTTGGGCTGCCATTTGAAGCCAACTACTCAACCAGAGTTACCGTCTCCGCATCTCTACCCTCTCTCTCTGAGTTAGAATCCACTCGACGGCCCGAGTGAGTTCCAAAAACAACCCCGTGCCAACTTCCAATCAGAGAAACAAGTACCAGAGAACCACTAAAAGAAGTGGACAAGAGTTTTCCAGTCTGTCTGCCCATAGGCCTTCACCCTCGGGTCTCTTGGGAAAGGGGGAGCACCTTGGGAAGAAAGCAGGCTGACGGTTTTCAAGCTGAGGGTCTTTGGAGGCATTTTCCAGGTAAAGAAGGAGAGAGGTGGCGCCTACAGCAACCCCGCTGGCTCAAGACCACACCTGCAGCCGATGGCAGTGCTGATCTCAGCGCCCTGGGTTTCCTGACTTCCAAACCAGGGTAGAGACTCTGCCGAACGATGGCAGTGAAGTGGGGATTTGAGGCTTCCCGGCAAGGGTAGGAAACTTTCCATGTCGCAGATACTCAACTTCCTGTGCAGGAGAACAGCCTGGGGAGGCTTTCTGGAGGACTCCTCTCAGCGTGGACTCTGGGAGGTAGGGGCCACTCCTGAGGAACCTTCGAGGCCCCAATTGACCCTTGGGAGCAGGTGGGGCTGAGATGCCAAGTTCTCGCCCTCTGTCTGAGGCCGGTCTCCCAGCCGCAAGAGGGTCCCCACACAGGTTTGCCCATCTGGGCACTGGGCTGGGTGCGATGGGATAATGTCAGAAGTCTGGCAGAGCTTGCTCTGCATCCCGCTGGCTAGGAGGGGCATGGAGGGCAGTGGACATTTGAGGAGGGTCTCCTAGAGAGGCATCTGACTTACTAACCATCTTCACAAACGGGCCCTAACCAGGTGGGAGCCCGCAGGACCTCCTTATCCTAACCTCTGATTGACTAAGCTCAAAGGGGATGAGAATTCAGCTCTAATTTCTTGGACAGAGCCACACTGGGTCTCCCTCAGGGTCCCATGGTCCTGAAAGAACCTGTGGCCCTGGGATTTCCACTGGTTTCCTAGCAGTCGGTCTAAGCTCTCCTAGTGTCCTGGGGCTGGCCTGACCTCCTGGGTGGGGTCATCCTACACAGAGGCACATCCTCGTGCCGCCTCCTTGCTGTCCCTGCTGCCCTGGCAAGGTGCCCCTAAGGTCTGGCAAACAAAGCTGCCCCAAACAAAGGATCAACTCCGGGAGCCGGGCCCAGGAGCTAGGGGAACTGGGAGTCCAGAGATGGCAGAGGGCTGGAGCACTGGACTGGGGGTCAGCCACCTAGGAACGATGAGCTCATTTTGGACAGCACTGCATTTCTCTGACTCTTTAGCTTTCTCAGGGGTGAAAAGAGGATTCTAGTGAGCCTTATACATTTACACAATATTCTGAGGGGCATATGCGACAGTGAGCATGACAGAGCTTTGTGGGTTCTTAATAGGCAGAAAGGCCAGTGACTCCCCCTTCAGTTAGTCTCTCAGCTGTAGACACTGTGTGTCTTGTCAGAGCTCAGTCTTGAACAGACAGCCAAGGAGCAGTTCTTCTCAGTACCCTTAGTGCTACACTGTAGCAGAGGACACCACCTGGAAGCATCTCCCATGCCACAGGCAGCCCTTTAAAGTGTAACACCGTGGCTCTTAGAGTAACTATTCTCTTATTCCTTTCACACTGCCATCTAGTGATTCTGACTCATGCCCACCTTACAGGATAGGGTAGAATTGCCTCTGTGGGTTTGTGAGACTGTAACTCTTTATGGGAGTAGAAAGCTTCATCTTTCTCCCTCAGAGCAGCTGATGGTCTCAAACTGCTGACCTTGTAGTTCGTAGCCCAATGTGCAACCACTGTGCCACCAGGGCTCAGTAAGTGTAACTATAAGCACCAACAAACGACCCTTCAACTTCTACCAGACAACTGAGAAGTACACTGGCCACCAAGTTGTTTGTTTGCCACTATGAGAATCATTGACCGCTGTACAAAAGACTCGTCGGAAACTTTAGAAGTTAGCATCAGGGGAACGTTTGCTGTCCCTCATGAACCAGCCCTATCGATAACCCACAAGCCCACCATCATCGAATGGGTTCCAACTCATCATGGCTCTCCAGAGGGTTTCTGAGGCTTTGCAAATCGCCTCATCTTTCTCCTGCAGAGTGGCTGGTGGGGCTGAACCACTGACCTGACAGTTAGCAGTCTAATACTTAGCCGGAATCACCACCCCATAAAGCCTAGCATCTCAAATTTGCCTCCAGTTCCACCAGCAAGCCCTGAGCAATCACCAAAGCTCCAATACTATGGTTTTAAATGTTTGCATGATTAAGCATTGGGCTGCTAATCTCAAGCTGCGGTTCGAAACCACCAGCAAGTTCCTTGAGAGAAAGATGTGGCTTTCTGCTCCCATATAGTGTTACAGTCTCGGAAACCCAGGTTCTACAGGGTGGCTCTGAGTCAGCCTGAGCTCCATGGCAGTGAGTGAGTATTGTGAGAGACCTCAAATCTCTTTTAGATAAAGGTAGTATAAATAAGTGATAGATATATGATGAATCACATTAATTTAGTATCACATATCATGAACTAGAATTAATGTTGGTGAGAGGCAAGCACACAAGCCTTGACATTCACAACAAACTGGCCCTGTGCCTTACTAGCTGTGTCTCCGGATTAATCACAGCTCTCAGCGTCTCTTCTGGTTTATCAGGAAAATGTGGACAATGATGCCTGGCATGGACCCAGAGGTGAAAGGAGAATTGGCTACCACCACGCTCTCAAGTTTTTTCCTTATTAAAGACCATAATTATTTCCTCTTCCTCCCGCAGAGAACATCTGCTCCCGGAGACACCGCCCCTACCTGCTGTCCGAGTCCTCCTCCGGGTACTTGTCCACTACATTGATGATGTCCAGCACCACTAGCCCCACGCACAGGATCTGCTTCTCCCCCATTAGGCTCCTCCCGGGCTCTGCCTCTTATCCCGAAGTGTGAGCCCGCTCCCGGGGCTGCCCCGGCTCCTCTTCCTCCAAGGGGCGTCTTGTAGAGGTTAAGGGGTTGCGATGCCGAAGGATGCAGGGAATGTGGCAGGTGCCTTGCACCGGGCGCCCACCAGTCCAAAGTCTAGGAACGCCGACACCACGCGCCTCCAAGTCCTGTTTCGCAAACTCCTTTTAGCAGGTAACTGGGACCTGCAGCTGGCCACGCCTCCACTTCTCAGTCTCAGCCCGCTTCTCGTCACAGCGGACTCTGGGCCAATGCAAATCTCTCCAAAACGCGGCCAGGCAATCTTAATGCAACCGGAAAGTGCGATGAAAATCGCCACTTGCCCCGCCCTCTTTACTCTCTGGGCTCTGACTGTAGACCCGCGGGGCTTACGGCCTCACAGTGGCAACTCTGCCTCGGTAGGTGAAGCCAGGCCTGGTGCCTTTGCAGGTTCCCGCCCACCCGGCCCCGCCGATCTCAGCCAAAGCCACGCCCCCCCGCGCGGCGCCAATCCCAGCTGACCTTAGCCAAAGCCACGCCTCCACGCGGAACTCGCCTCCACCCCCAAAGGGCTCCGCGGAGAAGACCACGTGACGGGAGACGCAGCGAGCGGCGCGGCGGCGCGGCGGCCCGGAGCCCCGCGCGCCCCCTGGTGGACGCCGGCCAGAACGCGGGCGGTCACGTCGGAGCGCTAACCCGGGACGCAGACGCAGCTCGCCGCAGCCCAGGCACCTCCAGAGCCAGAGCGCGCGGGGCCACCGCAGAGCCCCAGGGGAGGCGACCAGCCGGGTCGGAGCCCGCGGATCCCCCTGGAGCCGCTCTCGGCTGCCACCCCATTCTGTGTACTGAGCACATACTGGAAAAACCGGTTTTGTGGATGTTTGTTATTTTTTTAGAAAAAAAAGTGTCTTTATTCCTGAATAGTTTGGTATAGCATGGCGGTGAGGACCCGCGCCTCCTCGGGAGAGCCCTGCAGCCCAGGGCAGCCGCCGATCGGGCCGAAAGTCTGCCGTGGGTCCCAGCGGCCCGCTCCGCGCCGGGGAGGCGCTGCTCTGGGAGCCGATCCCGCGGCCGGCTCCGGGACGGACGGCGTCCGGGCGGCGCGCGCGGAGCCCTGCGAGCCGCCTGTCCTGTCCTGCGGCGGTCAGCCGGAGGGGGCGCTGCGGGCGCCGGGCCGCCGTCACCCCTGCTCGAGCTCCAGGTCCGCGTAGAGCAGCGCTCCGCTGAAGATGGTGAGCGGCTCCTCCGAGTGCGCCAGCTGCCCCGTGACCAGGTCGATGCAGACCGTGTCCCCCTCCTGCAGCGGCAGGATGAGGCTGAAGACGCCCAGGGCGCCCGGGCTGGGCTGGCTCTCGGCCACGGGCTTGTTCTCCAGGCCCTCGGGCTCGTAGCCGCCCGAGTCGATGCGGGCCACGCCCAGGTTGGAGCGGGACAGAACGGCCTCCACCTTCTCGTGCCGGTGCCCCGTCAGCACCGCGCTCAGCAGGTAGCGCCCGGCCAGTGGCGCTGTGAACACGCCTAGGGACAGAGATGGCAGTCGAGGAGGGGAACCCACTCAGAACCCCTAGACGAGCAGGGGAACCCTTTGCGGTCTTTTCATCCCACCTCCACTAGATTCTAGTGACTAGGTGATCTCCAGGGGATTGTGTCTGATGTGCTCCACACTGCATCCCGGCACTTGAAACAGTGCCTGTCAAGAGTCCCCAAACCCACTGCCAGCTAGTTGATCCGGACTCATGAGTGACCTTGTAGGACAGAGCAGGACCCGTCTGTGGAGTTCCCAAGGCTGTGAGTCTTTATGGAAGCAGACGGACACACCTTTCTCCTTGGAGACTGGGTGGGTTTCCAAGGGATGACACCCACCAGCAGCTAAGGGCTTAACCATCAGGGCTCCTTCTAGCAGGAGCAGGCCCCCACGATTTGTTGGATGGATGACTTCTCCCCACCCTCAGCGTAAGGGAACAAATGAAGAAATAGGGGTCTTCCCTAAATCAGAGATTGAAAAATGGTAAGCCTTGCATTTTAGAGGTTCGGAGGAGAGCCTACCGTTTGCAGGGCCTTCCCCACACCCCAGTGCGCTTATGCGCTATGCGCGCACTGCCAAGCCCGCCTCCCCGCAGGCTTACCTGTCTCTGGGTCATAGTAGCCCCCGTCGTTCACCAGGACTCTGTCGAAGGGGACAGTGCCTGGTTCAGACCGGGGCAAACTCAGAGCAGCTGAGAAAGCCACCCGGGGCGCAGAGAATGCCGGTGCCCCCTCCACACCTGCGTGGGGACGGAGTGCGTTTAAGGGTGGATGCTCTGTGCAGGCCCTTCCCCTCCAGCATCCGTCTCTCCTCCCAGGCTGCCCCAGGCCTTCCAGCCCCGCCCCCCTAGCTCCTGGTCCACCTTCTCTGGGATCTGAGGGGAGAAACTTACCCTGTTCACCTTGAGGACCTGTGGAAAGAGGAGAGGGGACAGTGAGAAGAAGAGTGGCTCTAAGTCACTGAGCAAACGCCTGCTGGGTCCCTGCAGCCATGGTGCTGAGTGAGGAGAGCCGGGTGGCCTTCGAAGCAGGAAGGGGATATCAAGAAACTATATCAAGAAACTATGTATGGTCTATGAGCCCTGGCCCACCCCTCACCTTTCACACCCTACAGAGCCCGGGGGGCTCAGCCTCGGTGAGGCCAACATACCCAATCAGTGACTGGCCCTGCTGCTTGTCATGTGTTTATCAGTCAGTCACACATCTGGTGCCACCAAGCCAATTCTGGCACATCGTAGAACTGCCCCCACGGGGTTCTTTACAGAAGCAGACCACCACATCGTCTCCCACAGAGCAGCTGGTGAGTCTGAACTGCTAACCTACCGTAACTGCGCAGCCACGGCACCACCGGGGCAGGACCCCCAAATACCTCACCCCTTCCCTCCCTTCTCACTCAGGTTCAGAGTGGAGTATCAAGCCTAGAGCTACCTTGGAGGGACAGACTCAGCTCACATACCTGGTGGTCCTGCAGGCCCCTCTTGCCCGTCCTGGCCTGGAAGTCCTGGAGGTCCAGCAGGGCCTGGAGGTCCCTGTGCCCCAGGAGGCCCTGGGGGCCCAGCCTTGCCCGCAGGCCCTGTGGTGGCAAAATGACGTTCAAGGAGAGTCAGAGAGAGGTTTCCAGAGACGGTAGGTAAGTGACTCTATGCCAGGGGGATGCATGAACCAGGTAGAGCTTTGCAAGTTGATGGCTCCGAACACTGGACTGGGTACAACATCGCAGCCACAGGCCCGTGTGAGCAGCCACAGAGAGGTCAGAGAGCTAGGGCCCTGGAGCATGTCTGTGGATAAATGGTTACCCTTGGGACAGAGGGTTGAGCTGCAATGTATTCTGGACAGAGCAAGAAGTGGGCAGGCCCTAGCGGGCTATTGAAGAATGAGAGGGAACAGGGTTCCCCACATGTGCCTCTCTTAGCCCCTCACCTGTCAGGTCCTTCAGGCTGAGCTGGTGCAGCTGGTCCTCCAGATGCAGCAGGGAGCTGTTAAGGTGCCCGAGCCGCCGGCCCAGGCCCGCCTGCCCACCCAGCAGCTTCTCCAGCACAGCAGCGTGCATCTGGCTGGTGCTGTTGGTGTCCCGGAGCCCAGCCCAGAGTCCAGCAACATGCTTGGAAAGGCCCTCTCGCAGGCCCTGCAGCCCAGTAGCCACAGTGTCCAACCGCTCACACACACCCTCCAGCTGGCCCAACCTCCCCTCGAGGCCAGGGCACTGGCCGGCCTGTGGCTGTCCTTCTTCCAGGCCTCGGAAGCGCTCCTCACTCTCAGCCGCATGCTCGGTGGCCTCCTGCTGCAGCCTGTTGATCTCGGAGATGATGCGGTCCTTGGTGGCCCCCAGGTCGGCCAGATCAGCACCCTGACCTTCCACGGTGGTCTGGAGCTCGTGCAGCGAATCGTTGAGGGAGCTGAAGGTGAGGATGACCTCAGAGAGCTCTCCTTGGAGAGCCTGGAGGGCTGAACCCGAGCTTCCCCCAAACACACTGAAGCCGTCAAGGGGTCCTCGGCTCGGCCCTCCAACCCCAGGGCCAGACCCAGGGCCCCGCGGCGGTAGCAGGGGGCAGGAGCAGCGCTCCACGCCATCCCGAAGGCGGCCCAGCTCCTCTTGGAAGCCACCACAGGCCCCACAGTCCTCGGCCCCCCGGGCCTGCAGCAACCCCTCCAGTTGGCCCAGCCGCGCAGCTGTGAGATTCAGCTGCAGGGTGACTTCCACAGCTGCCAGGTCCTGGGCATCGGCGCGCTCCTGGAGGCGACCCACGGCCTCTTGCAGTCCGTCTAGCACAGCCTGTCGGGCCTCCCCGGCCACTTCCACTGTGTGCAGGCTGGAGTCCACTAGCTGCAGCCGCCCCTCGTTGTCCAGCACTCTGCGATCCAAGGCTCTGAGGATCTCGCTGACCTGGGAGTCCTGCTCCCCGGGGGCGCCGGAGCAGAGCTGCCCACACGCCTGCACAGCCCCTGTCAGTTGCTCTTCCAACAGATCCAGCCGCCCACCCAGCTCTCCGCTTACGTTGGCCAGCAGCCCCTCCAGCTCCCCTAGTCGGCCGTGAGCAGCAGGCAGCCAGCGGGCTAGCCCCCCGGGGCTCCCAGGCCAGCTCCCCTCCTGGCTCTCCCAGGGGCCCAGGGTAGAGTTGAACCGGTCCTCCAGGCGAGAGAGGCGAGAGGCTAATCTGGTGTAGCCTGGGGGATAGCCCCCCTGCCCGGCTGCCCCTCCAAGCTCAGTGCCACGCCGGCCGCTCAGCACCGTCACGGAGCCGGCCACAACATCCAGCCTCCGCTCCAGTTGGGCCAGTCTCTGGCCCAGCTCCGGGGGGCAGCATTCCTGCTGGGGCCTGCGGCCCGGAGTCTGCCCAGTCAACTGCCGCTGCCGCTCCTCCACGGAAGCCAGCAGCTTCTCCAGCGCTCGCAGCCGGTCCTGGTCTTCCTGCTGCTGCCGGCGGAAGCCGTCCAGCCCCGACAGGCACACGGAGCAGGACTCCTGCAGCCGCCGCTCCAGTTCCCGCAGCAGCTCCTCTCGGTGTCCTGGAGGCGCCGGGGCTGAGTCCAGGGTGCCACCCCCACCGTGATGGTTGTTGAGGTGACCCAGCTCCTGGTCGTGGGTGGAGACGCGGTTGTCTAGGAGCTGGAGCTGGTGCTGGATCTCACTGAGGATCTCGTGCACGCCGGGGCGCGCAGCGGCATCCGCTGGCTGCTGCCTCCCGTTAAAGGCCGTCTCCACGGCCTTCTGGACGTCTTCTGCCAGGCGCCCACTCAGTCCCTGCAGGACCCCCTGAAGGCCATGCAGCTCCTTTGATAGGCTCTGCACCTGCTCCTCCAGCTGCCGCACCTTCTCTGACTCCACAGGACCTGGGATAGAGGGGAGGCTGAGGGGCTGGGCCTGGGAGCTCAGGGCGGCCCTCCACGGCCTCCACACTCCACCAGGATTCTGCCACAACTCCGCTGGGTAATTAGGACAGGACCAGAAGAAGGAAACCCTATGTCCTCCATGCCTCCGGGTCAAGTTTGGGCAGTGCCCCTAATGCTTGCCCATTTTGTTGACTGGGGCATGGATGGCCCTGAGGTTTTGGGCCATGAGTGACAGAGCCAAGTTTCAAACCCAGGAAACCAAACGCCCTGCCACTGAGCCGAGTCACAGCGACTCTCTACAGAAGAGTGGCGATGCCCCTGGTGGGTCTCCAAGACTTTAAATCTCCACGGGAGCAGAGAGCCTCCTCACCTTCTTCCTGTGGAGCTGCAGCGCACAGCAGCGCTGCCACCAAGGCCCTGTCTTTCCCACTGTGCCCTGCGCCTCTCAACTTGTTTGAAATCTGTTTCCTCCCCTGTGAAATAGGGGTGACACTTCTACTCTGCCCTCTCCGGGGGCTGCAAAGAGATGCAGAGCAACGGGGGTGTGGCAGTCACTTTGGGCAGTGCAACAGTGACTGTCAGTGGGCGGTACACCCTGCACACAAACAAGTGGCATCAGAGGAAGCCAGCTGGGGCTCTAACGGGTCAGTGAGGGAGTTAACCAGGGTGCCTGTTTCCATAAGTACTTATCTCCCTGGCAGGGAAACCACACATCCGGAGGGCCTGGAACACACAGGGGAAAGCAAGCAGCAGGGACTGCTGCATTCTGGGACCAGCAGTCTCCAAAGGCCAGAGGGCCTCGGGACCTGTAGTCAGTTGCAGTGCGTGCTGGGGCTTGTAGTCTCAACCCTCTATCCCCATGGACCAAGCTTCTCAAAGGAATTCCCCCTTCCTCCCACAGCTGTTCCCTACGAGAGGAGGCACCTTGGCCACAAGTGGGCGTGTGTGAGCGCATATTTTCTACACACACACACAGCAGCCTGACCCCACATTTACCACCCAGGACGGTCTCGCACATCTCTCCCCACGGTCCCCACACTCACCTTCTCCCCCCAACCCACTGAGGTGGCTGCCTGCGCTGGAGCCCGAGAGGTTGGGACGAGCAGGCCTGGGGCGAGGGCGTGGCGTGGTGGATGCAGGGCCCACAGCTGGGGCGGAACCCTCACGACAGTCGTCGCCCCCATAGCCCTGGCAGCACCGCCACTCCATGTCCGTCACTGTCTTGTAGGCCACGCGGTAGCGCGGGCGGAGGAAGCTGCGGTACCTGGGAGAGGTGGGGGGAGGCCTCTTTTACTCCTCCTTGGACTGGGTGATCCTGGTCCCTGGCCTCAGAGATGAGCAAGGCCTATCCCTTAGACTGGGCCCCCTTAGTGTTCAGCACATGGCCTAGCTCAGTTGACAGCTGTCAGCTTGGTGGCCCAGGACCAACCCCCTGCTCTTACCACCCCGCCCCACAACCCCTTACCTCCCACTGGCGCTTAGAACTCTTCTTTCTGATGACACCAGCCCAGAGAAGACACTTGGGGGCTGGCAGGGTGGTAGTCTAGGCAAGCTTGTCCTTGGCATCCCACCAACCAAACTAATGTCTCAGCATCTCCCCAAAGTGGCTCTGACCACAGCCGCCTGGTCTTGCCCCGGTACCTGCTCCCTACAAATTTCCTGACTTGGCCACCCATCTCCTGGCCCTGGGCCAGCCCCCACCAAGTACCCATGGCCCAGCCCATGCCCGGCTGTAGGGGGCTCACATGACGCTGCGGGCACACTGGGACTGGCCCCAGCCACATGGCTGGTAGTCAGGCTTGACAAAGGTCTCCACTCCATCCTCAAGGACACAGCTCACTGTCCGGGTCACCACATAGGCACACCAGTTCCTGTGGGCACAATACCACGTGGGCCCAAGGACCGGAGACACAGGCCCCAGAGGCAGTCACAGGGGCTGCCGAGGGACTGGGGGTGGGGTGGGGTGGCAGTTCAAAAGATGGAGGGCCTTGAGGGACCTGCAAGAGCTGGGCTTTGGCCGGGGCAGTGCCCCACGCTTTCCTGTGCACCAGGCAGAGATAAAGACTTCTCAAGATGAGAGGGAGAGGCACAAGATGGAAAACCAGTGTTCACGGCTCTGGGGGCTTCCAGGGCCTCCGAGTTCCTGCTCTCACTTGCGTCCACGTGTAGCCCTTTCTCCGTCCCCAGCTTGGCCTGCCCTGCCTGTATGGGCCAGATGGCCGGGTCCCTAGGGACGACCCCCTCGATGCTGGTGTCCACCCGTCCCTCAGCGGGGAAGGACATTAAGCTGGCCAGTCCGGCTCAGGGTTAAGCAGAGAATAAGCCATTGATGATCCCTGCCTCCCTTGGGGCTAGTGGTTCACACACTTGCTCCATTCATGCTGGTACTCGTCTGTGGCCGCCTCGCTGCTGAGCAGCGGCGGTGTCAGATTTAGGGATGACTAGACAGGACTCAGGAAACCCTTGTCAGGGACAAAACGTCTGCCAAGGACGCTGGCAGCACACGGGTAGCTGTCAGGAAGGCTGGGCTCATGCCCCTCAGGTTGGCTTCCCGGGACTCGCACCTACAGGGGGTTGGAGGTGGGGGTATGGGTGGTGATCCTCCTTAGGTGATCAGGGAGCCCACTGGTACAGGGGGCACTGGGAAAGGGAGGAGCCACTTGATGGACAAAATTTCCTCTGCCCCCGCCCCCCATTCCCCAGCTCCCAGCATGAGAGGAGGTAGCCCAAGCCCATGGTCAAGAAGGTGGCCGGCCAGCATGTCCACTTCCCACCCAGCCTTCCCACCTGGGTCCCCACTTACCTGTGTCTGCTGGCAGGCCGCAGGGAGCTCTGGGCTTGGGGACCCCCAGGGCTGAGGGCCCCTCCACCCCCCGTGTAGAGGCTGTAGCCTCGAGGAGGGTAGCTGGCCGCCCCCACGAAGGTGGTCAGCAGGCAGCAGAGGTAGCAGCTCCAGAGGGCACTGGGGGCCATGGTGTGGACACTGCTCCGGGGAGGTTCTCAGTGGCACATCCCGGCCGGCAGCTGGCGCCTCTGGCCGCCCCCGGGGAGGGGGGTGGGGATGCTGCGGCTCGCAGGACAGAGCCCGCCAGTCCCCCGTCCCCGGCTTCCTGCCTGCGGCCCCTCGGCCCCTCGAGCCACACGTCTCCTCCTCCTCCTCCTGGGCTGCCTGGCCTGACCCCTCTTTCCTCCTCGGGCTCCTGTCTGTCCCTCCCTCGGCTCCTTCCGCTCCCTTCTTCTCCACTTCTGAGGGGAGTTTGTTCTCCGTGCCCCTGGCCCCCTGTGCTGGGTCCCTGCCCCTCTCAGATGCTGCGTCCTGGGCCTCCGCCCCCTCGCCCCAGCTGGCCTTTCCCTGGTCTCTCGGTCCTTCTCCCCCAATGACTGGATCCTGTGGGTGACAGGGCTGTGCCCCTGTGGCTGTTCAGAGGTGCAAGGGGTGGCTGTGGGGCGGGCCCTGGCCGCTGGCCTCCCTCCCTGGTTCCCTCCCCTCCCTTCCCCCCTGTCTGGCTGGCGGTCCAGCCTTCTCCCTCCCCTCCCACCTCTCCAACCATCGTGCGCCACATCTGCTTCTTGTTAACTCGGGGAAAGAGAGGGGAAAAAAAAGGAAAAACAGAAATGTGGAGTTGCCACCGGGCTTGGGGCCAAGCTCTCAGATGGGACACATACAGCCGGGGCCGGAGCTGGGGGGGAGGCCTCTGACTGGTCCTGTTCTCTGCACGGGAGCTGGAGCCACAGGCCTCCTGGGGCAGGGGCAGCCCTTGCCCTCCTAGGACAGGGGACCTCGGAGAGAGAGCTCAGCGGGGAGCCGAGGAGGGGAGGACTGTAGAGGATTATAGGGCTTCTGCTGACTCCTTTTACAGATGTGAAAACTGAAACTAGACCAGGGCAGGGACGGGTCCAAGGTAATGCAGCAAGCACATCAAGGGTAGAGCTGAGTCTTGAATCCAAAACCCAGATCAATGACCTGGGAGAAGGGAGAAGAGCTAGGGGCCCCTAGGCCAGGGAGGAAGAGGAAGGACAGATCTCACCGAGGCAGGCAGGAAATCCAGGGACTACAGAAGAGACAGACAGGATCTATCTCTGAATGGGAGTGGGAGCAGCCTTCTCCTTCTTAAAGGGCCCAGATGGGCCTCAGTGAGGAAGGTAGGGCCCTAATTGGGAGCCGGGTAGGGGTAGATGGGGACCTATCGGTATAGGAAGTCACTCCCTTCCTGGAGCCAAGTCTGAGAGCCTCTGCAGCAGGTGAAGCGCTCATTCAATTCACCAGCTCAATCCCTAAGCTCCTCATGGGGTGGCCAAGTCTGTACACAAGGTCCCCCTTCACCATCTTATCCTCAGCACCGTGGCAGGAGGCTTGGGAGAGAGGAGCTGCCATTCTAAGCAGAAAGGAGAGTGAGGGCACTGGATGCTAGACGTGACATACGTGTAGAGGTGCCCAGGTAGCAAAGGTAAGGAAGACTTGGTCTTTGTCCCCTTGGGCTCTCAGGGAGTGAGACCTGAGCACTCAACTCGTAACATACAGCAGGCTCCCCTGAGTGCGAAGGGGGCAGGCCAAATGGCAGCTAGGTGTTCTGAGTACGAGGGACAGAGTAGCCGGGTGCTGGGGGTCCTCAGAGAAGAGTTGGCGGAACAGAGAGGACCTGTCCAGTGGCGGGGGGAGAAAGAGAGGGGGATGTCAGGTTCAGGGAGTAGGCTGCCAGAGCCTCCTCGCCCGCAACATGGGCATAATACGAATATCCCACTTTCCAGACCTTTTGGGGATTAAATCATCACCAGCCATGGACAGCAGTGAGAAGGATAGGAATTCCGGAACACTTCTCTGCGTTCGCGTGGAACCTGTCCATGGACCAAGAAGCCATCATGCCAGCGGAAGAAGGGTGTGTTGTTGTTGTTGTTGTTGATAGGTGCCACCAAGTCGGTTCAGACTCACAGTGACCTTATGAAACACAGAAGGAGACACTGCCCGGTCCCGCGCCATCCTCACAGTGGCTATGTTTGAACCCATTGTTGCAGCCACTGTGTCCATCCATCTCATTGAGGAGTCACTCCCCCCTCCCCCCACTTTACCAAGCAGAACAAGGGCACATTGAGTGGTTTAAAACATGAAAGGTGTGTGTGTGTGTCAAGGTTGTGTCCTCTCACCAGACATACTCAATCTGAGCAGAAAACCTGAGAACCTGAGAAGGTGGACCACCTGGAGCACGGCATCTGGATTGAAGGAAGGCTTATCAACACCGGAGATACACAGACGATACCACCTGGCTTGCTGAAAGCGAGGACTGGCAGCGCTGGCTGGTGAAGACCCAGGCCTGTGTGCAGCCTTCGGTGTGGATGGCACCTCAATGTAAAGAGGACAAACGCTCCCCACGGCACCAACCACCCATCACCAACATCGTGATAAGCGGAGAAAAGACAGAAGCGGTCAAGGATTTAATCTTCCTTGAGTCCACAAGTAGTGTCCATGGACTCAGCAGTTCACATACCAAGTGATGTACCCCATGAATTTGGTCTTTGGTTTCCATATGCATGGAAAAGTTGAACATCGAGTAAGGAAGGCCAAAGAGGAATCCGTGCATTTGAAGTATGGTGCTGGGGAAGGAATACTGATAGGGCCATGGACTGCCGGAAGAACAAACACACGCCTTGGAAGAAACACAGCCAGAGTGCTCCTGAGAACTGGAGACGGCAAGAGTCTGTCTCCAGCACCTTGGACCTGTTGTCAAGGGAGACCAGTCCCTGGACAAGGACGCCATTCCTGCTAAGACGGAGGAGCAGCAAAAAGGAGGAAGACCATCAAGGAAACAGATCGATACGGTGGTTGCAGCAATGGGCTCAAGGATAGCAACGTGTGGGCATGGTTCGGGACTGGGCCGGGCTCTGTTCTGTTCCACATACGGCTGCTAGCCACAGCAGCAAACAACAGCAGGGACAACGACGACTGGGTCAATATGGGTAAAGCATTTAGAACAGTGCAAAGCATTTAGAACAGTGCTCGGCACATAGTAACTACTCGATACATGTTAGCTCTTCTGTGTGTCAGAAAGAAGTGGGAGTCAGAAGTAGAATGTGCAAATTTAGGGAGAAGCTCAAGTGCTTGAGTTACCAGTTTTTGAGGGAGTCCATTCATGCACAGAAAGGAGAATTATGAGCCCCCAATAAAATGATTAATTAAAAAAGAAAGGAGAACTTACCAGTAAGCGCACTGAGTAGGATGTCAGGGTACTGGTCCCGGCTCTCTGCTAAGGAGCATTTCTCCTCTAGGCAAATCCCACGACTCCACTGGTTATCAGCGTTCTCATATGAGGAAGAGGCCACTTGTTGTCTAAGGCCCCGTGCACATGCCACAGTGCCCAGTGATGTAGACTTGAGTTGGCAGGAAAGGATGGGAAGACTACCTGCTTGGAGACCACCTGTAGATGAAGATGAAGTGTTCCAGGGTTTGAGCCAGGATGGGGATGTGTGGAAGAGGCGCAGGGCTAGGGGCATGAAAGATCATCCTCAGACAGCTTAGATAGACATCATTAAGGTGAGAATAACACACCCCGTGTAGCCTGGGGGAGATGGTTAGAAATATGGGTAGTTTGAAGTCATGAGAATGGCTGCTACCAGATCTTCATGTGACTCACAGTGATCTGCCTCCGAGGTCCTATGGACCAGAATGTGACCCTGACGGCTAGGAGAAATGTTGGCGCAGAGACTCAGCCACTCACTACCATGGAGTTACTTCCGGTCACAGGGAGCCTATAGGGAAGAACAGAACTAAACCCTTCGGTGAGGTAGAAAACCCCCATCTTTCTCCACAGAGTGGCTGGTGGTTTCAAACGGCTAACCTTGTCGTGAGCAGCCCAGCGTGTAACCTGCCACCAGGGCTTCTAGGCACAAGGAGAGAAATACCAGTGAACAACGTGAAGGCTGGGACCAACAGAAACAGAAGACTGGGGCTGTCTATTGCAGGTCTGCGGAGCCAGAGGATGCCGACTTCAAAGTTAACATTGGAAGGTTGCAATGTGCTCCCTCCCTGGTCTGCCTCAATGGTAGGCTCTGGCATGATCAGCTCATTTTGGCGTCTAGACGCCCTGGGTGTTGCTGTACATTTTCTCTCCCCGCTCTTCTCCCTCTTTGTGCTCTTCAGGTGGCCTCTGGCCACCTGAAGCGACATCCCAGTCATCTTCTCACTGCCCGGCTGTCACCCATTTCCTCTCCTGGCCCCAACGTTAAAACAAATCTGTTGTACATTTTAAGTGTGTCGAGTGAAAAATGTTGGCCTTGAGACGCAATTACAGTAGGTTGCATTTCATTTAGTCTTGCCATTAGGATCCAAGACTTAAGAGCTGAAAAGAATGGTTATTAGATAGCAAATACATTCGTGGCTTCAGGTTCATTGGGAAGAATCCCCCTTGCTGGTCCGTGGTGTGGGCAATTGGCTGAAGAGGTGGTGGTGGTAGTGGTGGTATTGGAAGGCAGCTAAAAATTTCCCAAGGAATTGGCAAGAGATTCTTGGGACCAAAAAAGGCTAAGTCTCCGGGGTATTAGAACAGGATCTATATTTATAACCGCTCCAAAATGGGGGATTCCCAAGGGTTTAGTGCCAGCGGAACTAGGCATTCATTCATTCAACCACTATTGACTGAGCAGCTCCTGTTCCCAGGGCCAGGATAGTTAGGGGAGTTTTATGTTAATACCCTCTCACAGAAGGATGAATCTCCAAAGGAATTAACAGCAAAGGATCATATGAATTGAGCAGTGGGGGGCACGGTGTGTGGGGGATCATACTGACTCAGATACAAATTCCAGCTCATGGGGGGGTCTCAAGTGAAAATCCACTCCTCCCAAATGCACACACTCTTCTTTTTCTCCCAACTCTGTCCAAGGGCACAATGCCTTAAGAGCAGACCTCCCTGCTCCCTGGTCTCAGGGCTGTACTCCTTTTTCCTATGTCTTGCTTCGTTTTTTTAAAAATCATTTTATCGGGGCTTCTTTTCTTCCTTTCACTCCCAAACCTAATCCTGTCCTCTCCTTGAAAACACTACACTAGTCACCGAGATTCGCTCCCATGAGTGTCCCTATATCTGCACACACACACACACACATACACACACACACACACACCATTTCATCCCCAGCATAAGGTTTTGCCTGTCTCAGTTCCAACTCCATTTAGTCCCAACCTCTTTTCATTCTTAAGCGAGGCTAATTCCGTCTCAGAGATCATTTCTAAATGTCAGTTCCTTCAGGCATGAGGGCCAAATCATTCAAGGCTGATAAAGACTAGCTGATCTTGGCTTAGGAAGTCCTGGGAGGTGAAGGACATTTCTGGGTAGACCTAAAACAGATCCTGACCCCTCGGTCCCTGACCCTAGGAGGAACTGTGTGTGGTATCAAGTCAGTTTGGACTGCTAGTGACCCCAGCACAACAGAAGTAAACATTGCCTTGTCCTGTGTCATCCTCCCAATTGTTGCTAGGTTGCAGCTACTATGCCAATTAATCTGATGGAGAGGATCTTCCTGTCTTGCTGAGCCCCGACTTTACCAAGTCTGAAGAGAACGGTCACTCCTGGTAACGTGGCCAAAGTATGTGAGATGACACCTTTGCCATCCTCGCTTCTAAGGATAGCCTGTAGAATCCACAGTTCAACATGGACCCATGGAATAAAGAGGAAGTGGTAACATTTGAATTCTGGTCCTGGTTCCGTTACAGAAACTTGGTGGAGTAAATTACCTTCTGGGTCCCTGTTTCCCTCGTTATCATCTTAAAGGCCTCCTTAAATGATGCTGGTTTTGGAACCAAGCACTGGAGCGTAGATTTCAGGTCAGTCTTGGGAATCGGAAGCACTTCCAAAACCTTCCCTCATGCCATTTGTGGTCTAGAAATTCTACTTTCCAGGGTCAGCCTAGAGGTTAGAACTTGCTAACAATGGGGAGGTCTAGTTCTAATTCAACAATCGGTCTAAGTGCCTGGTTGGACTTGGGTCGACTTCACATTTTCAGGAGACACGAAACATAACCACGTGTCATTTTCTAAGACCCTTTCTCTCCTGGAGCGAAGCTGGGAATGGTTTCACTGTTACGTGGAGCCATGTTAGACTTGGGATTCTAAATAGGAAACTTCTGGTAAATATTGGGTGGGGGCTGGGGTTGAGATGGGGGAAGTCAGGGGAACTACAGACAAGACAGATAGAGCGAGCTTGGGAGCCACCAGGACAAACTGCTGCGGCTCCCCGTCCAGGACGCCAGTACCCCCAGGCTAGTGTATCCCCAGCTCACTCCACACACAGGAGGGCAAGTTGGTCCCCAGACCCGGCTGTTCTAGCAGCTTCTGTAGTTTTCTTTGGCGCCAAGAAGCTGGGGCGTCCCCCGAGACCTCCCCCCTCAGTCCCCCACCGCAAAGCAACTGGCTTCCATTACCCCTGACAGCTCCAGAGCACTAGCCCAGCCCCCGGCCCCTGGCCTGGCTGGATCCCGTTCCCTTTTATGGTGAGGCCGAGGGAAGGCCGGGAGTGAGGGTGGGGGGGACGTGACTTGGCGGTGGAACCCCAGGGTGCCTCTGCCCTCCCCAGCCCCGGTCGGGTGTCCACTCCCCCTCCCCCTCGTCCTCCGAGACCCACTGGACCCCAGCACCCTCCGGCTAGTCCCTGCCCTGCCTCCCCTTCCCCCGCCTTCACATCCGGGGGGTGATTTCCCACTTGGCCCCAGGCCCACGGTTTGGGTTCGGATTCCCGGAGGGTCCGCCCAGTTTCCGACGCCCATCTCGCAGGGCGGGCGCGGGCGCCATCCTTCAACGTTGGTCGGAGCTGGGGCAGAAAGGCGGCGCCGGGGTGACGGACGGACAGCGCCGCCCAGCCCGGGGAGGAGACCCTGAGGGCAGGCCCCAAAGGAAGCACCTGGCCGGGCCGGGCCCGGAAGCGAGGGGTGGACAGCCCCGCGGGAGGCCGGGCAGGAAAGAGGGGTCAGAGCCTAGAGGTCACCCCGAGGCCCCCGGCCGGGCCCACAGCCACACCGCCCGCTCCAGCCCGCTCCCGGGTTCCGAGGAGGCA